ACCTTGTAGGTCTCTTTGAGGATACAAACCTGTGTGCTATCCATGCAAAACGTGTCACTATCATGCCGAAAGACATCCAGTTGGCAAGACGAATTCGAGGAGAGCGTGCATAAACACTGTTGTCAACAGTATTATACAAGCACATCCACCTTTTATCATCTGATTTTAATCATATATCCATGAAACTTTTTTATAAACAGAAATTGACATCATTGAAACCAAATCGTTTTGTAAGTTGCTGATTTTAAGTTATTTTACTGCTCAAGCAGGTAAGGTGGCACTCTGGGATCATCTTCTTTTTTTTTTTCTTATTTTGTTACATTCACCCCATGGAACTATGTTGTGGAGACTATGATGTTATGTGTGTTTATCTTGCTTGTAGGCAACTTGTATTATGTGAAGTAAAAAAAAACAAAGTTGTGTGTAGATTGTGTTGTGTGATCAAATTGGCTGTCTGTATATTGTAGAGTTCAAAAGACTAAGAAGATGAAGCAGATAGTTTCACTGCCAGAAACATAGGTACAACCCTCCAGACACAACTTGTTTTAATTTGATCTACAATTAGAGGACATATGACAGTTTCATATTTGGTATGTTTTAACAGTTCAATAAACATTGTTTGACATTCCATTAGTTAGCTGTCATTCTTGTTATAATTTTATATTATACTCCCAAATGATAAATCTGAGTACAATAATTAAGCAGTTTATGTTCTTGTAATTTCTCTTAAAAACAGTTGACAAATAACAGCGCATCACCTACCATTTGGCTTCTTAGAGCTTTCATAAAAAAATTCATTGCCTAAATATCCATATAAATAAGTGAAAATACATGCCTATTAAAAAAAAATTATTGGCAAAGCTGTAAAATTTCTAGTATCAAAACAATGGTTTAGTCATTTAGTATTTTCTCAACAGTGTTAGCCTGAGAGAATGGATGCTTAGCCAAACCTTTTGACATCTTACTTAATGAATTAGTCAGATTATCATGTAAAGCAGTTCAGTATCTTTGTGCCTCTTGCTAAAGGTAAGAGAAAATTATTTGCTATTAAATTAGAAGACATATATATAAAAATACAGTTGTTACACACTAGTGCTGGTAATGTGTACATGTGGAGCTTTCTCTTTGATGATTTAGCCTGCAATAAAATGTTTGTGCTAAATTGTCATCTGGAGGAAACAATTTGTTTTGGTAAAAATTTAAGTTTATACTTCATAAGTTATTTTTACATCAAGATTTTATTATTGCTCACAAGATTATGGATAATATTAAGTTGCCTTTAATGACTACTTTAGTGAAAGGTACCATTAGGAAGTTGAAAAGTATAGTGAGATACCTATACTGCTGTCAGATTTACCTTCTTTTTTTTTTTTTACTTGTCAGTATTCATATAAATTGCATATTGCCTTAGCACAGTTAGGCACAAACCTTGTTGCATTTGATTTTAAAATTTTTTATTTGTTCAATAAAAGTAGTGCTCTCACCTTTGTGCATTGTGGTCTGGTTATGTCTCACCCTCTTGATATGTAGAGAATTTAAAATATAATTTAGAACTGCTTGGTTTCCTAGTGTTTGTTACCAAATGCACAAAGTGACTGAAAGATAATAAAATTAATGATAGGTTAGAGAGAGACAAAGTAGGTTTGTAGAAGGACTGTTGTGGAAAAAGTAGTTGATCAATAGCTGTGTGAAAGGCAGCCAGATGAGCAGAGAAATAACTAACAAATAGACTACAGATAAATTACAGTGTTAGTTTATTCAAACTTTATTTTCTTTGAGTCACAAGAAATTGGCAAAAGCACGAAAATACCTTGCAGATGGACCTGTATTAAAGTGCATACATGGGCAAAGGAGATATTAGAAGTAACTGTTTTGAGGCAGTTGTTTAGATCATATCACTTTGCTTTAGGTGAGAAAGACATTTATGAGTTTCTTGATCGCTTTTTAATAAAAATAACAATTTTTCAACTTTCGTTATAAAAAACAACTCGGAACTACTACTTAATATTGAATGTTAAGGTAACAGTTTACAAGAAATCCATTTACCAAACATCTTAATCAGTGAAACACCATTAAAAAATATTAAATATACAAATACACAGGCATTAAGTGAAATAACTGACATTTGCAAGTAATTTTCTGTTAAAAATATTCTTATCAAGATATCTTAAGAGTACTATCATAGTCTTAGTACCTCTTAATATCTTGTAACCGAATGTTTAAAGTGTCCTATGACAGTAAGCCTAATATGATGCCATAACAATACTAAAAAATGTAAATTGAACTTAATAGATTATTCATACAAATCTTACTTAAAAGTAATTACATCATTTTATGCATCTTATTTAATAACAGTAATGTTTATTGATATTTTATATTTTCAGAGCTTTCTAAACTTCTGTAAAGACTGTTTGAATATGATATGCACTCAAGTCTGTTTGTTAAACATAAGTTTGTACATTTTAAAAATTTTAGTAAAACATAATCAACAGGTGATAGATAGAAAATGGAGATATTCCAATATCAAATTGGTAATAATATCAAAATAGCGAAAATGGGACATGGTTAAAAACAAACACTAATACAAGGTTCACCATTTCATTGATGCAAAAATCATCAGGAACAACATGTAAGGGGTGAATGACTTTGGTATTAGAAACTTATGTCATGTTACTCAGCTCAATGATATTCAAGTACCTGTGAAGGGGAAAGACATTTTAACCCCTAATTCGTAACTTGTTTCCCCTATATAAAAATACAGACAATCCTGACCAGTTTGGTAAATACATTCAACTGTTGTTGATTTTGGATAAATATCCAACACTGAGAACAGTTTTTGACCAGTTTCTAAAATGAACTTAATATTTGTTAGCAATTTTATTCAAAGTTTTCTTAGTAGTCTGATAATAAGATTGCTGCTCCTGGGAGATGAACTTGTATTTAAAACATCTGAAATGGTATTGATCCAGATATTCAGAATATGCATTAACTTGTATGAAATGGGTTTCATTGAATTTATTGTTCAGAGCTTTGCATGTCAGAATATATAAACTTCACAGCTAGTTTATAAGCAGTACATTGGTACGACTTTCAGTGAACATACAAATTGCAAGTGGATTTACGATTTATACAAGTGTGGAGTTACTGACATTTTTCTAAACTAAAAATGTTAATAAATATGTAACCCTTGAATTGGTTTGAAAAAAATAATTACTCTGAATAACTACACTAGAGTTAATACTGTTAAGTTTCTACTCACAAGGAAGCTGCATCTTAAGAAATGGTAATCCATGTTTTCTGCTCACATAAACTACCATTCTAAATGTGAAATGTTGATTCTATGCCTCTAGGCTACATATGGAACACCTTGATCAATTTCTATGAAAAAACTCACATTGATGTTAAGATTACTTCTAGTACATATATTAATGAAGATTTTTTTTTTTATTGATTTAATACCTCCAAGATGTTTAAAAACTTTGTACAAGTGATAGATACATAGCATAAATAGATAACACTGAAAATTATGAAAATCTGCTAGTGAATATCAAGCTGCACTTAAATGTGAGATTCATACATTGAACGTTATATGGTTAATTTGAAATATTTAAGTTCATAATTTCAATACTGCTTTTAGTTTTACATGCTTTAAGTGAATTATTTTCGCTGTGAAATTTTAAATGGTTATAATACCTGGATCTAATGATCTTCATGACATTGTGAACAAAGAAAAATGCAATTTAATATTATGATGAAAGAACATAAAGTTTTTGAAAATTGAAATAGTTTCAGTAAGACCTATTGTAAAATATTACGTGATTGTGGTGATCATTCAAAACACTAAAATTCATGTAGACAAATTGTAAAACATGCATTACTTAAGCAATTATATGTACTGTATTACGAACAGTAAAGTTTTTCTTGGATTATAATACATTAAATTAAAATGGGATATTGATAACATCATCCTAAAAAGGCAAACATTTATTTTAATGCAAAGAACTGGTTTTAAGTTAAAACACACATATATATATATATATATATATAATTGCTTAATTTATTGTAATAATCAAAATATTTTAAGCTTCAATCTACTGACACCTAGTTACAATGGTGTTTGAAGGGAAAAGTTACAACTGCAGTCTATTGCAATACCTGTGCAAGTGATACCACTAATATCAATATTAAGCTACCACAATGTCGAACACATACATTGCAACAGGTATATATATAAAAAAAAAGACAATTTCATATTGTGTAAAGGATACTCTTAAGATTTTTAGGCACATTTCACTGTTGAAATCAATTTTGAGGTACTAAAGATTATGTGAGATGACAAAATGGAACCCAAACCATTACACAGGTAATAGTAGCTTTCCACATTATAATTGAACATTCTCAATAAGAAAAGGCTAACTTTAACCTGTCAGCTAAAGCTACAAGTCAAACTTAATCTAAAATCAACAGAAAGAATATTGCAAAAATTTTGTAAAAAATATGAGTTGATATTAATATGCTACAAATGTACAATTTACTTTAATGACTATGGTAACGAATGGAATGTGTAAACATAAAACTACTATCAGTAGTTATAAAAAACAACCAAATTATAAAATATTTACAAAATCTATAACTTCATTTTTAGACTTTACCATGAAAATTAAGATAATTCATTGGTTCAACTTCCTATAAACCAATAGGGAAAAAGTAGAAACCCCTAAACTTGGAAATTAAGGGTATAGTTGCATCCAAATAGTTCAATGCAACAAAGCTAATTGTAAATACACATAATGAATTAATATCACTGCCACAACCAATGAATCTAGCAGGAAGCAGTGCATGATGGAAATGTATTTTATGGTAACACATTCAGAACTATAGTAACTTCATCTATATCTCAAGTTTACTTGTGAAAAACAATATCTGAGGTTCATTAAGAACATGGATATGTGTGAGGATAATGTAACACTAACCATATTACTGGTTAAATACTCTTAATGCCATTGAAAATATGAACATTATAACCAGGTGTTTAAGACTTTTACCATTGCCTTTAAATATTTAAGATATGAAAGTCCAGCTTGCATATCATACTGACACCTGTCTGAGTTGAAATGCTTTCTGAATATTATCCACTTCAGTTAACTTTCACAACTTTTATCTAATCCCTCATCTGAAGGATACCACTGCTGATAGTTGAGTACACAGAAAGCATCAAAAATGCACAACTAAATAGCAATAGTATTAATGATAGCAATTCCTGTTTGAAGGTGCATGAGTTAGTGTGTGTAGTGAATATTAATATCAAATGTGCTCACTACCAATCACTGTTGACAATGAAACACTATCTATGAAGGTTAAAAAAAAAACTACTCAACACATAAAATATAGATGGTTGAAAATTAAGTTTACTTTAAAAAATATGTACTTTAAAAAAAAAAGTTTTTTAATCATTTTTTATGATATTATTTATAAACTCAAACATTTGAATCAAAGATTGACTCGAGTTACCACCATGCAACTATAAGTAATTTCCACTAAACATAAAACAGTTTCATTAATTAGATATTTCTTACCATATGAGTACTGCATCTTTTGTTGTTGTTGTTTTATATATTAATTGCATGACAAATAAAGTTTCATAATATACCCATTTTTCACTTGAACCAAGCCCGTTTGAAATGGGAATGTTCATAAATAAATATATATTCATTTTCCAGCTAAAAAATATATACTCAGGCAAAAACTTAAAAGCCACCCTTTTGTGACATATAAATGATGAGCAGTTAAAAAATAAAGTGAAATACCAAACAATGAAACCATTCTATGGGTTCATTCGTAATCTAGCTGTCAATGTTTAAGCCTGGGTTATACAACTTTATAAAAATTATTTAAGATAGTGTAATTCTGTCATTTACTCCCAATCTTTTCGAATTTCAAAGCACCATTCCCATTTTAGATGTTCATTTTTATCATCATCAGTGAAAAGGGACTTTACTGTGTATTTTCCTCTTGCTGGCATCCCAGATGGCATCTCTTCAGGTTTTGTGATAAAAGACTGAAGCTCCAGTTTTGGACCATAACTACCAACCATATGCGATGTCTTTTCAACTACATCCAAGATATAGAAATATTTTTTTTTATTAGATATAAAGTGAAGATGATCTTTTGAAAACCAAAATTTTTTATTATTTAGCATTGAAAAAATGTATGAAACTGTAAAGTCATAAAAACTAGAATAAATCATTCATAAATGATAAGCAACATTTAAAACTATCACAAGATAACTAGGAATTTGCAAAACTTAGCCAAAGTTATATGTATCTATTTAATCTAAACATATTAAAGGTATTTCATACTTATGTGATAAGCACCCATTTACCTGGAATATCAATAAAACAGTTCATCTGATAATGTTTTTCTTTTCTGCGAAGGTAACCAAAAATTCATCAGCACGTGAAACAGTGATTGCTTTGTTGTTGTTTTGCTACTTGGGTTTTATTTACCAAGACATTACTTCCATTATGAAATAAAAATCAGCAAGAGTGTATTTTTGCTAATTATTTCTCTTTAGGTATATCAAATGACTGAAATGTATAGTTTAGTTTCAACTTGCACAGAAATGACCCACCAATCAAGTCAGTGATACATCACTATTATAGAAATTATAAAGGGTCAAATTTACAGCACCACATTCAATGAAAATTTTACATATTCATGCTTTAACTTAAGGAAACATTTTGTAACCACAGTATTTACCAAGAAGTTTTAATCTATATAAAATGATACAGCAATAAAAACTATCATACACCTCTATTTTATTAATCCACATCCAGACAAACACATCTGTTTTTTTATAACCCAGATTATGCTGGCAAATTGGCCCTTATTACAACTCATCCTTTATATGTACTGTCTACTTAAAGAAAGCATCCAAGAACAGATAGGATACATAAAAATACTAATATCAAAAATCTGATTTCAATTTCCCTGGATTAGAAATACCAAAAACAAAATCCTGCCACTAGGTTCTTCTTTAAAGTACTGACAAGTTAGCATGCTGTGAGTCCAGTAAAGCAAAATAATGGAACAGTTAAATAATGTAGTCACATTTTTTTCTATGCACGTTGCAGAATTGAAACAGTATTTAAAGGGAAGGTGAATGTTGGAACATGAACAAAAAAGAAATGGTAGAAATTATGAAAAACTTCTTCCCTAGATTTAATAGTACTCAATGCTGGTGACTGAGTTAAAAGATAGAGAAATGCACTATGAATAGTGTTATTTTGCCTAGTCAGAGACTACACTTTTCAACAAATTTAAATGGCATGCCTGATTTGCTATGGATATTACACAAGTTATTTTTCTAAAAATTAAATCTTGTATTCATAGGGATTTATGTTTAAGCACTATACTCTCTCAATGATATGAAAATCTAATTACATCATTACATGTATATGCAAGAAAGAACTATTCTGGTTCAACAGGTTCAGGAATTATCGACTTTAGCAACCAACTGTAGCAAGAAATGATTTGTTTCAAAAATGTAGTATACCCGCAGTTGCTACATACAGTTGTATAGCAGTTACAAAACAAATTGGATCCCACTACAACAGCAAGTGGCTAACATGCTGTTTCAGGTACGTGTAATTCAGAAATAAAAATACTGCACTAAATTATTTGAATCTTGAGAAAAATGTTCAAAAGACTATTTTCTGTAAAAAAAATAAAAATTAATACAATGCTTAGTATTTCTATGAACTCTTAACCTTGAAAATGCTAATGTACAATGCCTTTCCTCACTAGGCCTACTCACACATTCTATGTTTCTATCCAAAATTGAAATCAGAATTTGTTCTAAGATTTAAAAAAAGAAAAAGAAAGCTGTAATCTAAGTAAAATTCCTTAAATTTAAAATGTGATTTTCATCCAACATATTATCACCGAACTGAACATTACTTACCTTTATGAGAATTGTACAAATTATAGATAATTTTAAAAACCTGGGATCAAGGTTGCAGTTACACTGTAATAAAAATTATGTCACAGTTTGTGTTATGCAAGAATAGGATTGAAATGCAAATAGGGTTGATTTGAATCACATTGTGATGTGATACCTGACAAATTATTTTTGGATTTCATCATCCAATAACTTTAGGACTATGTTTACTTTTTGATATATTGCAGATCAACATCTTGTATACTTGGATGATTACAAGCAGCCCTTGTCATTTTATCACTGACTGTTTCACACATTAGTTATTGTATGGAAACAACATGGGCACTTAATTTTCCTTTGTCAATCTGTTGTCTTTTAAATACAGTGAACAAATTCTAGTGTATTTGTTCAGTATCCATATCTTTCTTTCCTAATCAAACATAACCACTGACTCCTCATTTGTCTTTCTTTCTTCATGGAAGAACTTAGAAATGTATGTTATTCTTCCACAGAAATTTCATAAGATTTTATGCTTTACAAGTCAATGAATTGCAGCCAGATACACAACAAAAAAAAAACCTAGGCATTAGTCATAAAGAGTAGCTCCACTTTCTCCTTAATTCATGCACTAAATATGCTAAAATATCACAAGCACCTAGTGGAAGTGAACATAAACTACGGAATTTGAAATATGCTTAAGCATTTAATTTCTGAATACAACTCTTTAGATGTTTATTTCTATGCCACAAAAAATTGTCAGGACCACTCACAGTAAGGTTTTAGCAGTATTAATGTGCAAAGATTATGTGCACGCAGTACCTAACATAATCTAAAGATATATCTATGCAACTTGATATATATACACCTATTTATATGCATCAGATTTTAATGAAGTACAAGAGTAGAGCACTGCCCTATGCAAGTGTTATTACATTGTACATGAAAGTTACTAAAATATTTTATTTTCATACAACTAAATCTCACCCAGAACATCATGTCTCATAATCCTTTGTACATATTTTAATCCAGTCACAATTTCTCGCTGCACGTAAAAGTCAATTTGGATCCTGTACTGTATTCCTTCTTTTACAATAAATATTCTTTTATTTAAATTCCCCAAGTCACCTAGAAACAGATGAACAGAAGCAAGCTTAATCTCTTGCAATAATCAAAAATAAATGTTTTCACATTAAAATCATAGCATATTAGGACTACTTTATACAGTTTAAATTATCAAAAAGGAGGTGCCAAAGTATTGGAGAGTTGCTAATGTTAATTCTGTTTTTTAAGGGGGAGATGAGAGTTGCCTTCGAAATTGCAGACAAATTATTCTCACTTCAGTAGTGCAAAAAATTTCTAAAGAGACTGATAAAAGAATCTTTGCAAAATCATTGCTGGTAGTGATGCTAATAAAAGACTAAGATATATTTCTAGATATCCTGGTTTGAAGTAATAAAAAAAGTAGTTGTTTCCATTCATATCACTAGTCAGGCATCACTTGGAATACTGTGTTCAGTTTTGGGTCTCCCTGTATGAAAAAAAAATTATTGATTTATTGTAAAGAATTTGGAGGAGGGTCATTAGAATAATTTAAGGGTTATCTTATGAGGATAAGTTGAGATTTCTTAACTTTTCTTTTAAGAAAAGAAGGATACGATGTGATCCTATTGAAGTTCACAAGATTATCTGGGAGATCATTAGGATGAAAGTCCATGTTGTATTTTGAAGACAACAGGGCACGTGGTTAAGGTTTGGAGAAGACAGATGAAACTCTGTTTAAGATAATTTTATTTTTCTAATAGGATGGTTAGCTTACAGAATGATTTGCAATCAGCTGTCATGGAGAACAACACTTTACAAGAGTTTGATAAGGGATTGATGATCTCCTAAAAAATAAAGGGTGGGTTAAAATTTTTACTCTTTCTCAGATGGGAGTATACAGAAGCCTTGAAGGACTAAATGGTCCCTTGTTGTCTCAGAAGTCACATTATAAATGCAAAATTATAAAAAACAATTATGCCTGTATGCAAAATTTGGTACAGTACATGTTTTTATTTGTCTTGTCATCTTTTGACAAAGTTTAGAACACAAGGAAGTTTCTTAAGATAACATATATTTTAACAAGCATGTAATGGAAGCTACGGATGTAGTGAGCCAATTTTATGATAATATCAAGAATGCCATTACAAGAAGAAGCAGTAGCATGAGTATGACAACAGTCTCATTGGAGGGGCTTAGTCAACTACACTTCAACAAAAACTGAACCATCTATATCTATATAAATGAAAACTGTTAGAAATTTTAGTAAGCTTCCAAGCTGAACTGAATATAGTGCATATAACCATGTCAAAATGTTTGTTTTCTATATCTGTCTATAAAAATATTTTAACCACTGTGTATGTATGATTATTTATGTATATCATTTTTTGCTACCTATGTGTTCATGGTAGGCATTTTTTTTTAAATCCTAACATAAATTAGAAATACTTAATTATATGATCAGCTACTTTGATATATGATATTACAATGTGTGGTGGGAAACTAAGTCACCTTTGATGCCAATGATCTTAATTATTTTTAAAAAGATTACACAGACCAAAAAATGTACCTTTCTGAATGTGTGTAGAAATAAATATTTTTTGAATACAAATTCACTGCTACATTCATACTTTTTATAGTGTTAACTGGGCATAGCCTAATAAATAAAGGTATCAGACAATGTTAAAACAACATAATAAATACCCATACTTACACATTTTAACATGCTCAAAAATATTTGTACAGTGATTAAATAAAAAACTAAAGACAAGTTAATGTTAACAATTTGAAATCTATTTTCTATTATTTTACCTGAAAGATCCAATGTTGCATTTGGTCGACCATCAACTATAAGAGAAAGGGAATTGACAAGCACTCTACCTGGATTTTTTGGATCTGTTGAATATACAAAAATACTGTAGTATTCTGCATACATGTAGTAGTAATTCACAACTTCAGACTGTGTTATTTTATCAATGTATTTGACATACAAGTAGAACAATGCCTTTTAAATCTCATAGAAAAATATATAAACAAGTCCTTTATCTACAACTTTAGGGTAGATACATAATAAAACCATTGGCCACTGATAGCAGTGTTCAGCAGCAATTCTATATAAACAGAATGTACAAAATGCAGTGTTCTGGTGTTACAACAGTGTCATATTCATTACATTGGCTAATTACATGGGTAATGAAAAACTATTACAAGTAACAAAAGTTTCTTTTATTGGCCATTCAAGCCATCTCCAAACTTTATTTTCTAAAAGCGAGTTCCTTATCATCAACTTGTTTGCCTGAGCCAACAAACCTGGCCTGATCAAATACTTTAGAATAGGAAGTTTGATCCAAACTATCTTCTTCTTGTTCTTCTTAGTTCCCGTCGTTCCTAGTGGAACATAGGGCTACAACAACACTTCGCTGACGGAAGTGTTGTTGCAGTTTCTGTAGCAAATTGTTATTGGGGTGGAGTTGCTAGCCCCACACTCAAGTGTGCCCATGTTTGGTGCGACAAGGACTCGAACCCGCGATCCTCGGATTGCGAGTCGAGTGACTTATCCACCAGGCCCCATCCAAACTATAGATTATATAAAAAAAAAACATCTCTCTTACAAATTTTCTTATATTTACTAAAAGGAAATACATAGCTCATTTTTGAAAAGTGTTCACATTAGAGGTATTTCTCATAGAGGATAAAAGAAAGAGGAATCTTTCCCTACAGTTAGAACTATGAAAATGTGCCAGGCATAGCGCATGTGGTGCTTCATGCAAGTGTTTATCAGCATTAAAAGAAAGTTTCACTCCACATTTATATATAATTTATCAAAATTAAAAAAATAGATCAAATAAATGTTTCAAAAAATTATGCTCCTCAACTTGTTGGGGTGTTTCATTTAATTTCCAAAGTCCTTGCCTCATTGATTACTCTTTTGTCAGAGATAAATGCCCTAAGTTTAAACTGACAGATAGGTCAAAAGATTTACATAACTAAACAAAAGCCTGGTATTTGGTAAACAAAATAATATAAAAAATTAAGAAATCCAAAAGACCTTATGAGAAACAACTGGCTGATAATGTTAAAACTATGAGCAAGGATTTTTTTAAGTTATGTTAAATATTTAGATAAGCCAAAATGCTAGAATTGGGTTTGAACCCTTAAAGGATGATAATGGCAATGTTATTGTTGAAGACTATGAGATAGTTGAGCTTTTAAATATTCTTTTTGTTTTTACAAGAGAAGTTATGAACAATATTCCTGACCCTGAGCATACTATGAGAAATGTTGGAATTGACCCGAATAATGTAGATCCCTTGATATTAAGTAAAACAACTGGGAGATTAAAAATAAAACACTGGGACATTTGTTTGTTGTGAATTTTGCGCAAAACTATTGGAGAGCAATCTGCACTAGCTGTATTTAATTTAGAAATGATAGACTAGAGGGAAGGTAGCTAGTTAACCCCATCCACCACCATTTCGTGAGCTATTTTTTTTACCAATGAATATTGGGATTGATTGTTACATTATAATGTCCCCATGGCTGAAAAAACTTTGGGGAAAATTGGTTTGACATTAAAGCTAGCCCAGAGATACTAAGAAATGCATTTGGACTAGCTGCCAACATGACACACTAGTTCAATAGGGCTAGTGACTTAATATTGAGTATCTCTTATAATATTTGGTATATTCACATATTTGATTTGTTGCTTTTGCAAGGCAAAAATCATATTATTAATTTCTCAAACTTAGTATTCTCAAATTATATATTTACAAAAGCAGAAAAGGAAATAACTTAAAAGCAAATCAGAGAATTCCTCTTTTTTTTTTTTCTTCTAAGGATTGACATAAGTACACTACTCAGCTTGTTGTTTTGAAGACTCTTCAATTGCAGTATCATACCAATCCAAACAGAGAGCCTTTGGATATACGCACACACACAGGTATACCAGTGTTTGCTACCTCCTTTGTTCAATGTAAATGTTTTAAAAAATTGATATATGCAGGTGTATATAGATTAAGATTATACATCAGACACGGGAGTATCTAAGATCTTTTTGCCCTAATTATCTTCTCTTCTGGGTTATTTACCTAAAGTATTACACGAAAACAGACAGCAATCTTCACGGCTACAACCTCCCTTATTTGTTTATGGGAATGACCAATAATTATGTGGATAGTGCATGTGCCCTGAGAAGAACAGCATTATTGTTTTGTGTATATAATGCTGTTCTTCTTAATGTGGAACAGATTTTTAAGAATATCTTGACACACATATACATACAGAGCTTTCTCTCCAGTAAAGAAGCCATACTTTGTAAAGTACACTCTTTTGACTGATCTTGTGAAGATTGTTTCATTTTCTTACACACAGTATCCAATTTCCTTTATTTTTCAAACTCGGTTAAAGTCAAAGAATTCAGATTTGCTCTATGGCACATTTTCTGTCAGACCTCCTGTTATTCTGCAAGAACCTAGCCAATTAATCTTAGTGTAAATCAGTAAGTTCGAGAATACCACAAACATTATACTTACAATGTTCTATCTATTAAATTATTTATTAAATAGGTTAAATACTTTTTTTAGTAATTATTTACACTATTTAGATTTTGAACATTCTAATGGTTTTATAAATATACCTCTATATGAAAAGTCTTGAAAAGAAAAATAGTGTTTTGTGTACATATTGTTTTATCAGAAACATTTCTGTGAAAATAGCCCTGGGATAATACATATCTTAAAATTTTAATCTAGAGTTCTGAAATACTAGTTAATTGGATTGTAGCAAGGGTGGATGGGAGAAGGCAAAAAGATTGTTATTACGGGAGTCCAGTTAAACCAAACCTTTGTTACTAGAAGAGTACCTCATAGGTCAGTGCTTGGGTCTTTGTTCTTTCTTATCTTACTATAATGAACACAGCATGTATATATGTATCTATCTATCTATCTATCTATGTATGTGATCAAAAATTAACATTTTCCTAAACTGAAAATGTATTTCCAATAGATACTTACCTCCTCTCACAAAATAGCTTTACTCAATTAGTACTGCCCTCTATTGGAGCACATTTTCAACGTTCTCCACTAGCCTTCCACCTCCCGCTTCTGCATATCCACATGTAAATGATTATGCAGCATCTATTCACCAATAGGAACACAACACAACCCCTATCATAACCAGTGCCTTCTCCACATTTGCACATGTTAATCATTTTGAGATTGGGCAGAAGACCTACACCACATATCACCAGAAGTGGGGAAGCTGGGTGAGAAATGTTAACTTTCAACACAACATCTTACCTCCTCTCACAAAATGGCTAGAATCCCACAATGAACTGGTGGAGGGCTAGTAAGAAAATGATCTACCTTTAGGAAGTGCTCAAAGAGAGACCATGAGATGTGGAACCAAAAAAGAAAATATCAGACCTCAGCGGGAGACCGCACCACACCTGAGCCAGGTATACTCTATGCTCTTTTATGACTGTGTCGCAAACATAAAAGGTGGAAAAACATGAAGGAATCCCATAATATGTATTACCATTTAATGGGACCATGGGTGTTGAGTGGCTAAGGTGCAACAGACTATAGTAGTAGTTCAACCTCATCCAACACCTGGCAGTATCTGGAATTGTACAACAGTTCTGCAGTAGGCATGTTTGGTCTACTCAGGTGTATTCTTAAAGGTCCAACCAGGAAGACTGAAACTAATCACAAAGTTTTGGTGCAAAAGCAGTCCCAGTGAGCAATATTATAAAGCTGGTTGGAGTAGCATCTCATGCATCAGCTTTAACCCCCTCCAGACGGGTCAAAGGCCATGTCATCATGTTTGTTGACTCATATTAACAATTTATT